GGGTAGGTCTTATTTTGTTTGCTTGAGGACAAGCAAAAGCTTAAGTTTGGGGGAGATGATAACTAGGGATTTTGACGTGTTTCATTCTCCTTCTTGCTTACGCTTTGATTATAAATTCTTTCAAAATATTCCCAAAAGGCTCATAAGTTGTGCTTGATTGCAGGTTTGATCAACAAAGTGACGAGATGTCAAAGATCGGCTCAAAAGGAGTGAAACCTGCACAAGTACCAAAGACAAGACAACTCAGGACAAACAGGCCTAGTGCGGCCGCACTACACTTTGTGCGGTCCACACTAGGGAGATTCAGAGACCTGGATTTTAAGGCATTAAAGCAGTGCGGCCGCAGTAGATATTATGCAGCCCGCACTGAAGACACGCGGCCGCACTACCATTTTATGCGGTTCGCGGACGCAAACTTCAGAGAGATGTCAAGTGCCAAGGTTCAAGCCTGTGCGGTCCGCGGTCGTGTTTTTGCGGACCGCGCTAGATGCCTCCGCGGCCGCAGTCCATTCTGTGCGATCCGCGGAGCCTGGGTCCAGAGAGTTGATTTTTCATCATCAAGAGCCTAGTGCGGCCACACACCATTTTGTGCGGTCCGCACTGACCCCGCAGTGGCAATTTTGTCCAGTTTTTCCAGCTTAGTATAAATAGATTCTTTTTCCATTTTTAGGGTATCAGATATTACAATACTGTAGCTGCGCTCGTGAGACGATATTTCTTAGCCATTTTTGGCATCTTTACGTGGTTTTAGTCATTGAAACTTTGTATTTACTTTAGTAATTAATTAATATGTCTTTCTCTTCATCTATTTCTCTGATTTTATCTTCACGCATGAGTAGCTAGGCCCATTAGCTAGGGTTGTGGCTCAACCCTAGTGTGGGTAATTGATGGGTGTTGTGATTTAAGGATAGATTGATTCTGGGTGTTTGTTATTTGGGTCAATTTTATGATTTAATTTATGAATTAGTGGTTGCAAACACTAGTTTGTGCTATGTTGACTTAGGCAACTCTTGAGAAAGAGAACCTAAGTCTCCAAAATTGACTCAACAAGGAATTGGGATGGACTCAAGAGATTTGATAGTCCCAATTAAAGGGTTAAACCTCGAGAGAGTAATTACCCGACTTGAACCCTAGTTGCTTGGGAAAATATGCGTACCTAATTGATCTTGAGAGAGTCAATTGGGCAAAACCACTCTTTCTACCGAGAGGTGTAGAGTGGGTAGTATCGAGAAATGGTTATAACATATTTCCCCAATCATGTCAATCGTGCCTTAGATACAATTACTCGTCAATTAGCCACCTAGGTGAAAGTCACTACCCTAGTGCCTTTTAAACCATTAGATACAACTTATAGCAATTTTCTCTTAGCTTAATCTAGTTGCATTTTCAATTAGTAGTTTGATAAAAATAGAATCATAAAGAAAATCCAAACATGAATATAAGACCAATTAAGAACACATACACAATCCTAAACTAGATATATACTCGATTCCAATCCTAGCTCTCTGTGGATTCGATCCCGGCCCAAAATCGGGTAAAAGCTATTGCGACCCTCTCTTGCTACTTTTTAGTAGTGCGGAGTAGGCTGCGATCACTTTTTGGCGCCGTTGCCGTGGAGCTAACGGTTTTGGCTATCTATTTAGTTAGTTTTGTGTGTTGTTCTTCTTTCCTTCTTTGTTACTAATTTGTGTGTGTCAATACTGCAGGTACCAAAATGGCTACCCTCTTGGAAATGTGCTTGCGGGGGAGGAGGTTGATGAAATTGGAGAGGATGAGGTGCCTCTTGTACCTCCCGGACCACGACGAGGCCGCCAGGCCAATGCAAATGACAATGTTCCAGACCCTCCTCTGCCACCTCCAAGAGCGGTTCCTCGGGTGCTACCGAACCAAGGCTATGCAAGTGCTATTGTCCCTCCCAGAATTCGGGCGAGCAATTTTCAGATAACTAATGTGATGTTGACCATACATGAGCAGCGTGGGTATTTCACGGGCGCTGCGGATCAAAATGCCTACAAACATCTCAAGGGGTTCGTGGATACATGTTGGGGTAGCAAGCAGACGAATGTGTCCGAGGATGCTCTTAGGTTGAGGCTTTTCCCTTCTCACTTCGGGGGAAAGCATTGGATTGGCTAGAGAGACTCCCCAACCATTCCATCACAACTTGGGATGAGTTGGCGGATAAGTCTATTGCTAAATTTTTCTCACCCGGGCACATGGCGGCACTTCGAGATGAGCTATTGGCCTTCAAGAAAGAGCCCACGGAACCTTTGCATGAGATTTGGGAGCGGTATAGAACGATGGTGAAAGAATGCCCCAATAATGACATGACGGAGAATATGTTGCAACAAACTTTCTACCGGGGCATCAATACTACAAATCAATGCATAGTGAATCCACATGCTGGGGGTAATTTTATGAAATTGATGTATGATGAAGCTTGTGCCGTTCTTGATGAGATGGCGGACACGTCTTCCGCATGGCAAAGTAGGGCCAGTGTTCCCCAAGGTGACCCTACGGCTATTCATTTGCATAAGGAACTACATGACCATGGACAGGCTATAGCGGAGTTGACAACTACTATGAACCAATTGGCTAAGGCACAGTTGCAACAAGTCCAAAATCCTCGCCAAGTGAATGCCATGGAGGGTGTGAATATGCTTGTTAACAAGAGAAGGCAACGAAGGCAACAAAACCAAGGGAATTCTGAGCAATTTGATGATGATTGTGATGGGTTTCAAAATGATGGCTATGACGAGCAAAATGAAGAGGTACAATATGTAAACAATTTTCAAGGCCAACGGGGCAACTCTTCCAACCAACAACAGTGGCGACCCCAGGGCAATTGGGGCAATCAACAACAAAACAATGGTAATTGGGGGAACAATAATCAAAACAACAACTGGGGCAATCAGAACAACAATCAAGGCAACCAAGGGGATTGGAATGGTAATAACAACAATTGGGGCAACAATAACAATCAAGGCGGATGGAACAATGGGAACCAAGGAAACCGGGGGCAAGGCTTTCAAAGGCCCCCAATGTACCAACAACCGAACAATCCACCTCCTTTTCCATCCCAGGGCCCTAGTTCATCCAACAATGAAATGGGTAGAATTGAAATGATGTTCGAACAAATGATGAAAAAGAATGCGATTTCGGATGCGCAATTAGCTTCTCACAATACTTCAATTCGGAATCTGGAGGTGNTTGATTTTTTAGAGTCAAGAGCCTAGTGCGGCCGCACACCTATTTTGTGCGGTGCGCACTCGACCCCTCGAGGGGTAAATTTTGTCCTAGTTTTTCCAGCTTAGTATCAATAGATTCTTTTTCCATTTTTAGGGTATCAGATATTACAATATTGTAGCTGCGCTCGTGAGACGATATTTCTTAGCCATTTTTGGCATCTTTACGTGGTTTTAGTCATTGAAACTTTGTATTTACTTTAGTAATTAATTAATATGTCTTTCTCTTCATCTATTTCTCTGATTTTATCTTCACGCATGAGTAGCTAGACCCATTAGCTAGGGTTGTGGCTCAACCCTAGTGTGGGTAATTGATGGGTGTTGTGATTTAAGGTTAGATTGATTCTGGGTGTTTGTTATTTGGGTCAATTTTATGGTTTAATTTATGAATTGGTGGTTTCAAACACTGGTTTGTGCTATGTTGACTTAGGCTCTTCTTGAGAAAGAGAACCTAGTTCTCCAAAATTGACTCAACAAGGAATTGGGATGGACTCAAGAGATTTGATAGTCCCAATTAAAGGGTTAAACCTCGAGAGAGTAATTACCCGACTTGAACCCTAGTTGCTTGGGCAAATATGCATACTTAATTGATCTTGAGAGAGTCAATTGGGCAAAACCACTCTTTCTATCGAGAGGTGTAGAGTGGGTAGTATCGAGCAACGGTTATAACATATTTCCCCAATCATGTCAATCGTGCCTTAGATGCAATTACCCATGAATTAGCCACCTAGGTGAAAGTCATTACCCTAGTGCCTTTTTAACCATTAGATACAACTTGTAGCAATTTACTCTTAGTCTAATTTAGTTGTAATTATAATTTGTAATTTGATCATAGTGGAATATAAAGAAAAACCAAAAATGAATAGAAGACCAATTAAGAACACATACGCAATCCTAAACTAGATAGGTACTCGATTCCAATCCTAGCTCTCTGTGGATTCGATCCCGACCCAAAATCAGGTAAAAGCTATTGCGACCCTCTCTTGCTACTTATTATTAGTGCGAAGTTGGCTGCGATCAAGGACTGAGTGGCAGGAAGAAAAGGTGGGCTTGTTGGGTGATTCAGCAGGTGGAGGGCTGAAGTGGAGATTATATGGACTTATAGGGGGGACAGTGGAGTGTTAAAGGGGGAAGTAGGGCATGACTCAGTAATTTTTGCTTTTACTGGAGTGGAGCAGCTATTTGGTTGTGTAAGGACATGTGTGTTTGATTGTATTTGGGTTTGAGAGGGGTGGGGTGGAAAACTATGAGGGGGAGGCGGTGAATCATTGTTTGGGACTTGTTGTAGCTGGGCTGGATGGGGGGAACAGTGGGAGTAACGGACCAAATGAAGAAATATTAGGGGCGGAAATGAGGGAGTGGGCTTGGGCTGCCATTGCTTGAGTCGTTTGGGCTCGATGTGAGGTTGTACGAGGGGTGGGAGTAATTATGGGAAATGAGCTAGGGTTTATGGGGTTATCTAAATTAGGAACACTATTGGACGGTAAAAAGGGGGGGATTAAGAGTAAGGTGATGTAGTTTATTAGTTTTAGGTAATTCTTCATTAGAATTAATTAAGGATAGGGTGGAGGAATTAAAGAAGCGGGGAATGAAGGGAGCGTTTTTGGGAGGTATAGAGGTGGAGAACGTACCTCGGGTCCCTGTTTGTGCTGAAGTATCAGTGGAAATAGCATTGTGTAAGAGTTTTGTTGGAGAAGCACGTTGTATAGGTGAAGGTGGTGAGCGATGGGGCTGAGGGCTGTTTGTGCCATTGCGAGGTCACGACCTTGTAGAAAACTTAACTGTTTGCCATGGGGTTTCAAGAGTTGTAGTTTGTGAGGGAAGGGCATTGTTGGCTGCTATGGAGGGTGGCAATGGCGAAGAGGGGGTGGGAGTTTCAGCTGTCAAAATATGAGAAGGACAGGATTTGGTGTTATGACCAATGCGCCCACAGCGGAGGCAGAGTATGTTCAATCCCTCATACACGACAATTTTATTATGTGTGCCAATATATACATGAGTTTTCAGTGGTTTGGCGAGCGGAATTTCAATGCAAATGCGGGCGTAACAGCCTCTGGTTGTAGTGGAGGTGCAGGTGTCAAATTTTAGAAGTTGGCCAAGCTTATTTCCCACTAATTTTAGGAGTTCAAGATCGTAATACTCCATAGGTAATTCAGGGAAATGTGCCCATATTGCGGAGTAGGCAAGTTGTGCAGTGGACGCTACAAACTTCGGCTCCCATCGACGCACTGTAAGAAAATGAGCAAGAACAAACCATGGCCCATTGTGGAGAGCATGAAGCATGTTATCTTCGTTGACGAATTTGATAAGGAAAAAAGCATGCCCCAAGTCAATGAGATTGATAGGTTCCGCGGAGCTCCATAGTTTTAAGTAGTTGATGACCTATGAGTTTGCCAAATAGTTTAACAATAAGGGAACACTTCAATGGTGAATACAAGCGAGCTTTGTCAGCGGTCTGAGAGGGATGAAATCATCTGTATCATATGGGTTATCCGATTCATCATTAAGATCAATGTCCAAAAGGATGGGCTGGGGATCTAGTGGCAGGAGGTCGTTTGGTGAAGGAGTTAAGAGGGTTATTAGGAAGGTGGATTTAGAGAGATTTTGAGGTGGTGTATCAAGTAGCATAGGTAAATGATCAGGAGGATCATTGTTAGATATCACTGTAATGGAGGTGGAGGAATCTGTGGAGCTAATGGAACAGTAAGAGAATAGAAGGAGTGGGGGATGGGGAGAGAGAAAAGAGCATTTTACCAAGTGTATACGGTCGAAATCGGGGAGCTCGATTTCAAAGACTCAACAGAACCCCGGGACTCGAGTTCGGGCAGCACGAAGTAAAGACCAGAGATTACTGGAAAATGCGTACATTGAGAAAATCGAAGACCCGGCGTCATCTTCCTCGAGGGCAGTACAATTTCGATGACACTCAAGAAAAAGCGGGAATTTCTCAAGGACACGTGGGTCAGAGTATTAAATAAGGGATAAGATTTGTACGAAATAGTACAAGTCCGTACTAGGTTGTTATACAGCTGTACCAATAGAATTCTTTGCCATAATTGGAAATGTACCATATTAGGGTTTTCCCCTTCTATATAAAGGGGACACCAATCTTTGTAAAATACATCTGACTCACTGCAATGGAATATTCTACTCTGCCTTTCTCGTTTGCTGTGCTCCCTAATTGTTCTTCAGCTTTATTATTTTGACTTTATTGTTCATACTTTGCTTACTTTTAGCTCACCTCGAGGCCCCCAAGATTATCGAGCTCGAGGTCCCCATTGCTCTAACAAACTGGTTTGTTTCATCAATTCTTCTTACTTAAACCTAATATTACTTGTATATTCACTAGTATTGGAATAAATCACATATCTTTAAAACCATAAATTATCTTTAATTGTTACTCACATTTTTTGAGGTAAACAGTTTGGCGCCCACCGTGGGGCTAAAGATAATAGTGATTATTTTAGTGCTAGTTTTGCGATAACACACGTTATTCTTCACACTTTTTCTTGTCAAAGATTCTTTGATTTCAGGATAAGATATGTCTAGCTCAGCAAACGCACCTGCTCATGACAGTGAGGGACTCGTAGAAAACAGTGGTATAGGGGTCGGTGTACCACCCATAAACCTAGAAGGAGTGCCAAATATAGAGCCAGTTGATATCAGTTTGCATAACTCTCTAAACACGGATGCGGGCACAGACCCCGTAAGGAATGTACGTAGGGAAGCCCGGCCAGGGGACCAAGGAACACCGGGAATGGAAGAAGGGGGAGTCAGCCTCCAAGTGATATTCGAGATGCTGCAAGATCAGCAAGTCGCCATCGCTCAACTTTAGAGTGACAATAAGACTCCAAACACAGTTGAACCAGTGAACACTCGGCGTGCTGAACCAACGCCAGAGAGGCCTGAATGAAAGTGGCTCGGGGACTGACCTCGCGATTATGAAAATGCTCGAAGAACTAGCCAAGAGGATCGAGTCTGGAGAAAAGAAACTTGAAGAAAATGGAAAAAAGGTGGAGACATCCAACTCAAGGGTCGACCAGATACCGGGAGCACCTCCGATTTTGAAAGGATTAGACTCAAAGAAGTTCGTGCAGAAACCATTCCCAGAGAGTGCAGCTCCGAAGCCCAACCCGAAGAAGTTTCAGATTCCAGATATCCCAAAATACAACGGGTCCACTAATCCCGATGAGCACATTACCACATATGCTTGTGGCATAAAAGGAAATGATTTGAAAGACAGTGAGATTGAGTCTGTTTTGCTAAAAAAGTTTGGAAAAACCTTGTCTAAGGGTGCCATGATTTGGTACCATAACTTACCCCCTAACTCTATTGATTCGTTTGCCATGTTGGCAGACTTATTTATAAAGGCACATGCCGGTGCCATAAAAGTCGCAACAAGGAAGTCCGATGTATTCAAGATAAAGCAAAGGGAGAACGAGATGCTGAGGGAGTTTGTATCCCGCTTCCAGTCAGAACGAGTGGAGTTACCACCAGTCTCCGATGACTTGGCCGTACAAGCCTTCACACAATGGCTAAATGAACGAAGTTTGATAGCTTCGAAGCAGCTGAAGTGGAACTTGATCGAATATCCCGCCGTGACTTGGACGGATGTGCATAACAGGTACCAATCAAAAATTAGGGTCGAGGATGACCAGTTGGGAGCCCCTCAGGCTCAGTTTACCCAAGCAGATTACTAGCAAAGGAGTCAGGAAACGCATACAGGGAGTCAAGGTCAAACAAGGAAAGATATCATCCATACATCGAAGATCGAAGGATCATTCCAAGGCGTAACATACCTCGGAATTATCGAAGAGTAGATCGAGGTCAAAGTTCCCGGGGAATCATGAGCAAAACCGAGTTTTATAGGCACTCGGAACCGGTAGAGGTGTCCCGATTATCAGAGTACAACTTCAGCGTCGATGACTCGGGTATCATCTCAGCCATTGGCATAATTAGAGATACTAGATGGCCCAAGCCTGTACAGACTAATCCTTCCCAGAGGAACCCCAACTTGATGTGCAAATATCATCATACTCATGGGCATCAGACCGAGGATTGCAGGCAGCTTAGAGAAGGGGTAGTCTGGTTGTTCAACGAGGGGCATCTTCGTGAATTTCTCAGCGACCGGGCCAAGAACCATTTCCGAGAGAGAGATGTAAATAGGAAGAATGAACCTGAAGAACCTCAACATGTCATTCACATGATCATCGGTGGATTCGACGTCCCACAGGGACCGATATTCAAATGTACCAAGTATCCATCATAAGGGAGAAGCGGACTCGGGATTGCGTGCCCGAGGACACCCTCACATTCAGCGAAGAAGACATCAAAGCCTTATCTCAGCCTCACAACGATGCTCTGGCAATTTCTATCCTTTTAAATAAAGTTCAAGTTAAACGTGTTCTCGTGGATCCAGATAGTTCGGCAAATATAATCAGGTCAAGGGTCGTAGAGTAGCTCGGGTTGCTCGGTCAAATCATACCAGCATCTCGAGTCGTGAATGGCTTCAACATGGCAAGTGAAATGACAAAGGGGGAAATCATCCTCCCAGTCAATGTGGCCGGAACCATACTAGATACCAAATTCCATGTTATCGGAGGTGACATGAGGTATAATGCTTTGCTTGGAAGGTTGTGGATCCATGGCATGAGAGCGGTACCATCGACCCTTCATCAAATAATGAATTTCCCAACAAAGTATGGCGTGAAAACAGTATATGGAGAACAACATGCAGCTAAGGAGATGTTTGCAGTACATGACTTGGCACCGGTATCGACACCATTTGCATCAGAAAAGTCAAAGGAAAACAGGTGGCCAAATAGCAATCACAGACCATACCCTCGGTTGAGCCCGAGGGACAGGTGATCGAGGACGAAGAAGAAGATTTCCTCACCCCCAGAACCTTCATTGCCCCTGAGGAATCGGATGCGACGAAGTCCACGGTCGAAGAACTCGAGCATGCCGTATCGATCGAGCATCTTCCAGAACGAAAGGTATACCTGGCAACGGGGTTAATCCCCGAATTCAGGAAAAAACACATTCAATTTCTTATCAATAACATTGATTTCTTCGCCTAGTCCCACTTAGATATGACAGGGATCCCACCAGAGATAACTACCCATCAACTAAGTGTCGATCCCAGATTTAAACCAGTGAAGCAAAAGAGGAGACCTCAGTCCGAGGTAAAGTTTGCATTCGTCAAAGAAAAGGTAACCAAACTTCTCAAGATAGGGTCCATTAGGGAAGTAAAATATTCCGAATGGCTAGCTAACGTAGTGGTAGTCCCTAAAAAGGGGAATAAACTTAGAATGTGTGTAGACTACAATGATTTGAACAAGGCATGCCCTAAAGATTCCTTCCAATTGCCCAACATCGATCGTTTGATCGATGCTACGGCCGGCCACGAGATCCTTACTTTTCTCGATGCCTACTCCGGGTACAACCAAATTCAAATGAACCCGGAGGACCAAGAAAAGACTTCGTTCATCACGAAGTATGGTATGTATTGTTATAATGTAATGCCCTTTGGGCTAAAAATGCAGGAGCCACATATCAATGCCTAGTTAATAAGATGTTCGAACATCAGATAGGCAAGTCCATGGAAGTTTATATTAATGACATGCTAGTTAAGTCCCTGTGCGCTGAGGACCATTTGACCCATTTGCCGGTGATGATCGATATCCTAAGAAAGTACAACATGAAGCTCAACCCCGAGAAATGCGCTTTTGGATTCGGCTAGGGAAAGTTCTTGGGTTTCATGGTGTCGAGCAGGGATATCGAGATCAACCCCGATAAAATCAAAACCATCATTCGAGACTTAAAGAAAAGGTTAGATAATACAAAGGGGAAATGGAGAGAAGTGTTGCCCGAAGTACAATAGGCATACCGAACAACGTCAAAATCGAGCACGGGGGAGACCCCGTTTTCTTTGGTTTACGGGTCTGAAGCATTGATTCCGGTGAAAGTCGGGGAACCTAGCGTCAAGTCTCAGCATGCCACCCGAGGACTTAAATCGTGAAGCTATGAACACTTCTCTCGCACTACTAGATGAAAAACATGAGCCCGCCCAAAAACAAAGGATTGAAAGGTATTACAACAGAAGGACGAACCTTCGATATTTTAGAAAGGAAAGCCAGGCCCCGATTGGGAAGGACCGTACCGCGTCCCCAGAGTCATGGGGAAAGGATCCTACAAACTTAGCACAATGGAAGGCAAGCAGTGATCGCAGCCTACTCCACACTACTATTTAAGTAGCGAGAGAGGGTCGGAGCAGCTTTTACCCGATTTAGGATCGGGATCAAATCCACAGAGAGCTAGAATTTGGAATCGAGAATCTATCTAGTGTAGAATTGTGTATGTATTCTTAATTACACTTCTATTCATTTTTGGGGTTTTTGTTTACTTCTACTATTATCAAACTACAAATGGTAATTACAACTAAATTATGCTAAGAGTTATAATGCTACGAGTTGTTCAAATAGGTTTAAAAGGCACTAGGGTAGTGACTACCGCCTAGGTGGTCAATTGACGGGTACTTGAATCTAAAGCACGTTTGACATGTTTGGGGAATATGTTATAACCGTTGCACGACTTTACCCACTCTACACCTCTCGGTGGTTTGAGTGATTTCGCCCGAATTGGCTTTCTCAAGACCAATTGGGTATGCAAATTTGCACAAGCAACTAGGGTTTAATTCGGGTATTACTCTGTCGAGGTTTAACCCTTTAATTGGGGCTATCAATCTCTTGAGTACGCCCCAATTCACTGTTGGACCAATTTTCGGAGACTTAGGCTCTCTTTCTCAAGAAGAGCTCAAGTCAACTCAACACAAACTAGTGTTTGCAACCACTAATTCAGAAATTAACCATGAAATTGGCCCAAATAACAAACA